CTGGGTTCAGAACATGAGGAACGCCAACTGGTGGGGGGAGGGGGGAATCCAACAGGGCTGGGGTCAGTGAGGGAGATGACCCAGGGACACCTCCCTACAGGGAGGGCTCTGGAGTTTAACTGCCAAAGAGCAGCACACTCTCCCTGAAGACATCCTTCTCCATGACAGAACATAACGCTGAGCCCCACAATTCCAGGAGAAATGACGGATACCCATCTTTTCAATTGCAATGGCCACTGCAGAGCTTGGCCCCAGGAATGTTGGAGTCTTAGAGTTATGAAACTAAGATGCCATGATACCAGCCTTTTCTGCCCCAGCACTCAGAGCCACTTCATACATCCCCTCTTCCCTGGCCCATCTCACCCCATCCACATACCTGGACCAGGTCTCCACTTTTCTCCTTGTACTTCCTCTTTGTCTCTGTTTCTCTCTAACCACACCTCTCTGTGTTTCTTCCTTTCATTCTCTAGGACTTGCCCCATTCCCCTATCACTCATCCAGTTTCTCTCTACTTTCCTGTCTCTTTGTCCACCTCTCCCCAGGCTTCAGGCTATCTGCTCTGTGCATGCAGCCCTGTCCAGGACCACAGGAAACTACTCTCTCTCTCTCTCTCTCTCTCTCTCTCTCTCTCTCTCTGTCTCTCTTTCTCTCGTCATGTTTTGTCCCAGGCCCTGATCACGATGGAGGAGAATCCCCCGTACAGCAGCTGCTCATGTTGACATTTGCTAAAGCAGTCCTGGCAGCATGTGGACAGCCAGACATTTACCCTTGGTGGCCCAGCCAGGACCCAAAAGCTGCTGGAGGGCTGGCTGCTTCCTTAAGCTGGAAGGAAAAAGGGGCCCACAGGGTTCAGGGTCCTTGATGTAGATTGGATTGGCTGATGTAGAAGGAGCCATAGGCTTACACCCAACTCTCCTGGGTGGTGTCGAAGGAACCTGTCTCAGACCATGGACCTCTGCCCTCCCCAGGCCTCGATACGGCATCAGAGGGAGCTTTAGGGGACACCGTGTGACTCGCCACAAAAATTGCGTCATTTGCCCCCTTGGAGGCCACCGGGATGGGTACTATTGGTGGCAGCTGGGAAGGTGGGCTGTGAAGCCGGGTTTGTCCACTCAGGATGGGGCGGAGGCCAGGGGACGGGGACCCTGTGCATGTGCGGGGGTCCGTCCGTGGCCCTGACGGCCGGGCCAACGCGGGGGAAGAGACGTGACTGCACTGGCCGGAAGCGGGGCAGGGTGGGTGGACAGCGCCCCGGGCCGGGCCTGCCGCGGGCTCTGCGGCCTCTGGTGCTCAGACGTGTGGTGAGAAGCGCAGTCAGCCGGGGGTGGGCGGCCAGGGTGGGAGTCTGGCCTCCCGGGTGTGTGATGGGGAACCGGCTCCCCACCCCCCTGCACACACTCTGCTGATGCTCGGCGGCCTTCTCAGAGGAGCAAAGGCCTCCCTCCTTCCCGAAGCGCCCGAAGTAGGAACGGTGGCCGGGGCGGGGGCGTCCTGGGCCCTGGGAGTCCGCCCGCCCTGGGGGAGAAGGTCTGCCCGCTGCGTCGCCACATGCCTGAGGCCTGAGGACCCGTGCTCCGAGCTGGGGGTGAGGAGGGGTGCCTCCCCGGCCTCCGGGGGTGCAGGAGCCTGCCTCGGGGCGTGCGGGGATCTTCCTCTGCTGCAGACACTGGCGGGGGCCAGTCCGCGTGGCTGAGGGCGGCCGAGTCTCAGGTGGGGAGTGGGCCGGGGACGGCGTATCCAGGTGGCAGCCGCCCCCGGGCTCAGCCTGACACCCGGCTGCCTTTCTCCCCCATCCTCCACCCCCCCCCCAATGGAGCACTGCCCAAGCCGCCCGCCCACTTCCTGTGGCCAAAAGATAAAGGACCTCGGGGGCCCCCAGAGCAGAGACCCGTGGAGCCTGGCAAGGTAGGGATGCTGTCCCCTCTCACACGGCTGCAGAGGCCCCTGGCCCCCTCCGGCCCTGAGCTGTCCCTCCGTGCCCTCTCTCTTTGCAGATGCTGTGGCTGTTGCTTCTGACCCCCTTCTTCTCGGGGACCTGCCTCGCGGGGAGCCCAGGTGAGTCCTGACCCCACGGGGGTCCTCCCTTCCCAGAGGCTCCTGTAACCTTGTCTCCAGTTCCAGTCGCTGGGGGGCCTTGGGGCTGCCTGTCGTGCCCTCGGGGGAGGCCTAGTTGGGGACGGGGCTCGGCCCCGGGCCCGAGGCCCGGCCTCCCTCTCCTCTCATGTTGCTTCCCAGCCTCCCTCCCTGAAAACGAGCTGGTGGGCATCGTCGGGGGCCACAATGCCCCCCAGGGGAAGTGGCCGTGGCAGGTCAGCCTGAAAGTCTACGATTATAACTGGGCCTCGTGGGTGCACATCTGCGGGGGCTCCCTCATCCACCCCCAGTGGGTGCTGACCGCCGCCCACTGCATCACCCGGTGAGTCCCGCTCGCTGCAGTCCAGCTCTGGGCGAATCAGGAGGTGTGGGAATCCGGGCTCCAGGCGGGGCAGAGGTGGCCGCCCTCGAAGGACCGGCCTCCGTGGCTTCTTTGCGACCCCAGGAAGGACGCCGACCCGGCAGCCTACCGCATCCATGCCGGGGACGTGTACCTCTACGGGGGGAGGACGCTGCTGAATGTGACCCGCGTCATCGTCCACCCCGACTACATCAACGCCCAACTGGGTGCGGACGTGGCCCTGCTCCAGCTGTCACACTCTGTGAAATGCACGGCTAACGTCAGGCCTGTGAAGCTCCCGTCGGCCCTGCTTGAAGTCACCCCAGAGGACGAGTGCTGGGTGACCGGCTGGGGCACCGTCATGGTGCACCGTGTGTACGGGGTGGGGGTCGGGAGGGGTTCGGGGCCGCGCGAGGCATTTCCCGACCTGGCCACAGGGAGGAGTCCTGGCGGGTGGGCGGTTGCAGGTTCTGGAAAGGAATCGCCTTCCGACACCCTCCCCCACCCCACCCCGTGTGCGCCCCAATCGGGAGATCCGACCCCAGAGGCTGGAGGGTCCCTGAAGCAGAACTGAGCTCGGGACCCAACACTGTGATGAGGAAATTCATATTCTTAGTTTTTTTCCAACTTAGAGGAAGACATTGGGGGGGCGGGCAGAAACCCTCACCCCCCCCCCCCCCCCCATTTTCTTTCCGGTCCTTCCAACTAAAGGCAGAATCCACCTTCCGGGTGTTAGGAATTTAGAGGGAGATGGGAACCCTGCACCCTGGGGTCCCCACGGTGGCGATCCGGGCGGGAACGCAGGCTCACGGCTGACAGCGGGGGCCACGCTCCAGCCTCAGGAGACTTCTCTCCCCCAGAGTTGCTGCCTCCGCCCTACCGTCTGCAGGAGGTGGCGGTGATCGTGGTGGAGAACGCCGTCTGTGACGAACAGTACCACAACGCCACCGGGTACCGCCTGGCGGGCGGGAAGATCATCCAGGACGACATGCTGTGTGCGGGGACCGAGGGCCGGGACTCCTGCCAGGTGAGTCCCAGCCCATCCCGGCCCCCACCCCGCGCTGGAGGCCAGCCGGGGCTCAGTGCTGTCTCTCCTTCCTCAGGGCGACTCCGGAGGCCCTCTGGTCTGCAAGACGATGGGTGCTTGGCACTTGGTGGGAGTGGTCAGCTGGGGCGAGAGCTGTGCCGTGAGAAACCGTCCCGGGGTCTACGCTCGCGTCCAGACGTACGTGCCCTGGATCACGCAGCAAATCGGGAGGGGCCTCTGACCAGGGCCTGCTGGCCGTCCGCCCGGCCGGGCCCGGAGGAGCGACGCCTCCCTCCCCCCGGAGCCTGCTGCTTCAGCCTCTGCGCCCCCGTCCCTGGCCTGGGCTCCGCCTTCGCTTCCGGCCTCCTCAGTGTCCGGGACTTCCCTGACTGCTGGGGGAAGGAGCAAGAAGATGCCGGGGGGCGGGCGGGAAGTCCCTGGGGCCCAGGGTGCCTCGCTGTGCTGTCTGTCAAATTAAAGAGCTTGAGGAAAGACCAGAGCGCGGGCAGTCTCTGTGGAGTGGGCTCTCCGTGGGAGCGTGTCGGCCAGCCCCGAGGTACAGGGGGCCGCGCTGGGGCTGGTGTCCTGCCAGGCTTGGCAAGGGAGAGCGAGGATCTCAGGGTTGGCTCCACTCTGCGGCCACAGCCCCCAGCTCTGTCCTGCACCAGAGGCCACCACGCGGGTCCAACCTTGCATCCGTCCCTCCTTCCATCCCCCATCCTTCCGACCATCCATCCGTCCATCCCACTTCTCTCGTAAGGCAAGGTCTGTTCTCGGAATTAACCAGTTGCCACGCAAAAGTGACCTGGGTATGATGCCAATATGTCCTCCCCTTTAGGGACGTGCTTGCCCATCTGGGTACCTTCCGGTGAGGGTCTTCGCTGGCTCCCCAGGGGGAGTTGGGTATGAGCTCCAGGTGCTGGGCAGCAGCCAGGGAGAAATGCCCCGTAGGCAGCCGGGTGAGGGGCTGGAGGCCACGGTGCCCCAGGGCCATGATGTGTGTGTGCTGCAGGGTCAGGGGGTGGCCTGAGCCCATGTGCCGGGCCAGGGTGGGGCAGGGAGGGCCCATTCACCTGCTGTGCAGAACAGATGAGGGAGGCGGGAGGAGGGAAGAGGGAGGAGCTGCGGGGCAGGCTCCGTGGCAGGCCCCACCTGCTCCTCCTGGGCACCTGCAGCTATGGCTATCCCCACCACTTGTGCCCCGTGGATGCTGCCCCTGGCACTAAGTGGCCGGCTCTGGGCCGCACAGGCCACAGCAGGACCAGGGTGGCCCCAGGTGGCCTGTCTGTAGACCCACGTTTGTTTCTCCCCGTCACCCGGACAGGGGTGGGGATGGGTGTCCCCCACCTCCAGGAAGCCCTCCGCGGTTCCCGGGGGGCACACTGGCTCGTCTCCTCTGTCCTCCAGGAGTCGGGTCTTCGGGGCCGCCCCGGAGGGTCCCAGCTCGAGGCCCAGAGTGAGCCGGGAGACAGTCAGGCCCTCGTGACAGGCGTCTGTGCCAGCCCACACTGCCCACGTCCCTGCCCCCGCGCCCATCTCGGGGTCCCGTGGTCTTCACCGCAGATCAGATGGGCACAGCCCCCAGCTGCCCAGCTCAGAGCAGGCGCTTCCTAACCGTCCGCCGTGTGGCCAGGGCCTGATGACAGAGCCGATTAGGGGCCCTGGGAGGGGGCTGGACTTGTCTGCACC